ATTTCACTAAACTCTCCATTCAAACCAATCATAACCAAAATATTTGCATCAATTTTCTTATTACTCCCTGTCTATGAAGGGAGCACCGCCATTGATGAATAAGTATAAAAAAAGTTAAATATGATTTAAAATTATTCTCATTGTTCTTTATTTATATAGTTGAATTTTATAACTTTTTATATAGCATAATCACATAATCAGCTATGCAGATACGTATTGCCACATAAAATGATCGAAAGATATTCATTCGTCATTTACTGGTACATAGTGTACATTAATTTGGCTTGGTCTACAACAAACAATCAAACCAAAGAAGGAAAATTAACAAGAAATAATCAATTGAAACAAACCGCCATTTGAGAAAATTGGCATTAATCCTTATCAGCAACAATATATAAGAATAGATACATTGCAGAACTCTAGTATTAGACATGTGCCCAAAAACTTGGGGGAAAAAACACAATTCTTGCCCTAGATTAGTTGTAAAAGTAGTCTCTGGAATATAATAAGTTTTTATTTTAGTCTTCCATTCTGGTGTGTTAGAGTAACCTCCCTTACTCTTTGAAACTTTGTTCCCGAATCTTTTGTTGATTTCGACTAATTTCCAAATAACTGGTTCAAGCCAAAAATCTATGTGCAGTTGCACAAATAACTTCATCATTATCGTTATATTCGTTAACGTTAAATCGTCCAAAGAATAACTTACAGTTTTCAAGGGTCTCTGAAAATTGATTTACTGTATTTAGGTTTTTTTTAACTTGCAAGAAGCGTTTAGAACATCACTACCGTATTCTCTTAATTTCTTGTTTTCCTTGTATATTTAATAAATCTTAACATTGTGATGTGTTAGTTATCACTACGTACGTACGTACGTACGTAGTTATCAGAAACGAAAATCTTGATTTGAATTTTCTATATTTAACGTTAACGTTAAGTACTCTTGCGATATAGTCGAAATAATGGCTTCGAGATTAATATAGATTTTCCAGAATTCTAATTAGCAAGAGCATAATTAAAAGACGCACTACCAATAAAGCTCATAGAAGTACAGTCCACAGAATTATCGCTGGTTAAATTCAAATTTGAAGAATTATTTGTTATCGTTGGACGGGTCAAATTCTCGATATTTAAAGTTTTTATTCGATAATATTTATAAATCAATTTGAATAGACAAAAATATTGAAATTAAAGATGATATTGCTATTCTTTATTCAATATTCATTTTTATCTCGGTCAACCCAATCAAAGGATAAGCATAAACTTTAGTATTGTCTCCGTTTTTGTCTGGCACCCAAAACCAGCTGAAAAACTCAAATTTAGCCTAAAAGGTACATTGACTCTTCTATCAGGCTGTTGGTTGTGATTTATTTATTACCACATTATCATATGGAAAGAATGCTGACCCACCCGGTCCAACTAACTTCCAAAACTTATTTCTAAAAAACTTTGCTCCAAAATTCTTCATCGATTTCTCCGCGATAAATGGTGACTAGTTTCTAAATAACCGGCTCAAGGTGATTAAGACAAGATTACGACTTTTTCTTGAATACGACTTGAGACCCTTCAAAAGCCGCTCTTGGAATACCGCACGTGATATAAATCATGTACAGTCAAAGTCCTTTACGGCGCTGTATACATCGGATTCGGCTTATACGATATTGATATCCCGATTTTTACGATTTTTAACTATTTAAAAACACACTATCGCTATATACAGTCCTCCCGGAAAGTTATGACCGATCGGCTGAACACTTTTTTATAATACTCAAAAACTAGTTTCTTAATAAAGTTTTTGAGATATTAAAGGTTTTTTTACCACTAAACAAAGCTCGATAATTCGAAAAATACATTATTAAATCAGTTTTTGTCCATTAAAAAAAAATTGTTTCCCCGATCTATATCTAGTTAATTCCAAAACATCAGCATAAAATATTAATTATTTCTTTAAATGTTTAAAAATTTATCTTCTTAATAAATAAATTATTATATTTCTAGGATATAAAGTCTTGTATATATTATAAAAATAAAATTTTAAATTAAATTATTATGTAAAAAAAATTATACAAAAAAACCGCCGGCCATTACTTTCCGGGGGGACTGTATCAAAGTTTATTATATAAGCACTATATACCGGCCAAAAGTGCCAATCCAATGCGGTCGTTAAAAGGACTTTGACTGTATTCGAAATATTTTTAATGCTTCTAAAAGAATGATACGACTTGCTGTTTTTGCTGTTGTTGTACTGGTTGAGAGAGATCCACTTTTTTTGATGTTCTCCGTTCAAGTCAATACATGTTAAGCATGAATCGTAATGAATTATTTTCCTTCATGTTCAACAAAATAACTACGAAATCTTTCAGTGTTGAATTTAATATGTTGGCGATAGTCAACATCATCTGTTTTGAGACGAAGATTATCGCCAGTTTTCTGGATAATCTACCGAAATAGCGAATAGCGCAAAATATTCTTGATATTTTCGTGTTCAAATAATTTGAGGGGTTTATTACAGAACAGACTATTATTTGCTGTATTGGTTTTTACATCGTGTATGTATGGCGTTTCAGCTTCACCCTAACCCTAAAAAGATCACGAAATAGGTAATATTCTCCCAGACCTGGCTTCATAGAAACCATTGTAGAACAATATTCTAAGTGTAAAAGCTTTTCAAAAACTGTGAGCAAGCTCAAGACTGCTCTCTCTGAAGGAAGCGTAGTTATAATTTAATGTGTTAGTTTTGCCGTAAGGAATCGACGTTATATTGAATTCATATAGAGGGTGGGTAATGTGTATTAATTAATGGCAACTGTACATGTCTAAATTACGTATTCATGTTTAATTTACGTTTTTACTCTTCTTCCTTTAATGCACGTTGTGGGCGTACGTCGTGTTCCCGTATTATTTTCCATGTATAAATCGTTTTACAAACACAAGTGAACGACGACTTCCACACCACACATAAATCATCGTTTTTTAAATAAAACACTGCCATAATCACTAATAAACTCAAAGAAGGCATCTAAAACTCATGATTGTAATGAATGCTGGCATTGTCAAAAATGGGGTTACTGAAAAGCGTGTTCAGTTCACAATATTCATGATTGTAGCGGTAGTAATAACTGTTACGGTTGTAAACAACTGGTTACTGCGATTAGTGTTCAGTTCACAATGCTCACACAGTAATTGTTATCGGTGTCAAAACAATTGGATGTTTTCGGTATCACAAACGAATTTATGTTGAATGGTTTAAGATATCGACATTCTAATAAATGAATGCAAGGAAATTGATAACTATAAAGTATTTAAATGGATCCCTTTTGAAAGATTTACCAATGTTGAATATCTTGCAAAAGGTGGTTTCGGATCAATTTATAAAGCAACCTGGTTGGACGGACCATTGAATGATTACTGGGATCATGGAGAGAATAGATTTAAACGATTGGGAGAACGTAAATTTGTGTTGAAATCATTACACAATTCAAAGCAAATTACATCCGAGTTTATAAACGAGGTAAAATGAACACCTTTAAGTGTAAGCATATTACTTTTTGTTTTTCAATCTAATTAACTTTTAAAATTAGATTCAGATTGCTCTAAAGTGCAGTGATAGTTATTCTATTAACTAAAAACCCAGCTACAAATGAATATTCGATAGTGATGGATTATGCAGTCTACGCAAATATATGAATTCCAAATACGAACTACTGACTTGGAAACAAAAATTAGAACATTTAATTAGTATTACTCGAGGGTCGAGTAAAATTCACAATGAAAAATTTGTGCATCGTGACTTTCACCCTGGAAATGTCTTAATGAAGCTCAAATTGCTGATTTGGACTTACCAAACCAGCAAATATAGAAAAATCTGAACAAAAAAATTTGCGGAGTATTTCCTTATATGAGTCAAGAAGTACTAAATGGGAAACCATACACTAAAGCTGCAGATACTTATAGTTTCAGGATGATTATATACGAGTTTGTCACAGGTGAACGACCATTTGATGAAAGAAGTCATGATACACACCTTGTACGTATTAGACATCTATAACGGAGTACGACCTACGATACCAAATAATGTGCCGAAATTATTCAAGTTTATTATTGAAAGATGCTGGGATCCTGTTCCAAAAAACAGACCAACTGCTGAGGCGCTTGAAGACTTCTCTTCTCTATCAAATATGGATATACGAACAATCCGAGTACTTTACATTTTCAGTATTACTTTAGAATATCCTAAGATAAATAAGTGTCAAACTAGAAAAGCAGAAATTAGGTAAACTTGATAAGGAGATGGAACATTACATCCATGACAAAAGGTGGGATCTGGAGAAAATATAAATGCAAAGTTGCGTTAAAATTATTATACAATTCAAAGCAAAATATATGCGTTATCGTTATAGAATCACATTATAGGGATAAAAAAAAACATTAGCGTTAGAACAATGATGAGCAAATTATAATTCACCAATATCCCCAACCCGAAAACGTCGTCTGGAGTTAACAAGCACAATTCCTAGTTATGCTACAATAATTACATCAATTATAATGAAAAAAATGATAAATCTAAATTATTCACTTGACGTTATACTTACCATTACCTATCGTTTAAAAAAGGTGGAAAAAACTACGTACTGGACTTATATAGTAATTTTATAAGTCCAGTCCAGTAACTTCTGGTTACTGAACATACGTAACGATAACGATAGGTCAATTTCGATAATCTTTCTCATTTATTCCCAGCTGAACTATTCCGAAGTACGTACGTACGTATTTGTCTAACATATCGATACGGACTTTCCAAATACATAACAAAAGAATTTCTATTTTGTGTAAATACCGATCCAGCTATTTTTGTTCTAACTTAATTGGTGTTTCCTGTGCATTATTATTATCGTTATCGTTATGCTCTGTATTATACTTGAATGAACCCTAAAGGAGTTAATCGTTTAAAAAAGCTGTTTACTTCTTTTTATTTCATGTAATAACGATAATACTAATACACAATGTCATATCTAAACAGTATAAATTATAATCTTAGCAAAATAGATGATAAATATGTTTTTCGTATTTGCTCACATTGCAATCAAATTCAGAGATCAATTTACTGGTGTAAAGTCTGTTCTTATGATTTCAGAAAAAGCACTTTTGATAAAGCGATCAATCAATATATAACAGGGAACCAAAAAATCGGGTCGAATTGGTATGAAAATAAAGATTGGATTACGTATACTCAATTTGTTGAAGATGAGTTCTCGGACGATGGCAGCGAAGACGATTATCAAGAAGATGAATATGAACTCGACTACGATTTCGATGATCGTGCAAAGACAATATTGAGTCTTCGAGAACAAGCTCGTCACTTTAGTTATTGCAAAAAGTGCACGACGCCAAATTCTAGCTACGATTGGTGTAATGTTTGCAATAGAAAAATTTTAGAGACCAACTTCGCCCAATGGAATGGCGGCGACAATAATATTAACGAATTTATTCGAGAAACACAAAGAAAGGCGAACAAACATCTCAACTATATAGAATGGGTAGAATTTGATTTAATCATCGATCTGAAATTTTTGGCTAAAGGCGGATTTGGTAAGGTGTTTACGGCAAAATTAATCGACGAACAAAAAAAATCCATAAAATCGTCGCGTTATCATCCGGGAGATAAAATAGTATTAAAATCTTTGATAAATTCGCGATTAATGTTAAAAGAATTTTTAAAGGAGGTAAAAAAAATTTTAATTTCCATTTTTTTTTGTATTCTCTATTAATTTTGTATTCTCTATTAATTTTGTATTCTCTATTAATTTTTATCGTTTTATATTTTAGCTTCAAAATTACCATCAATGTTTTGGTGATGATATAGACTCACATCTTCGCATATTCGGCATTACTTGCGATCCCAATAGCCTCGAATACATGATGGTTCTTAAATTCGCAAAAGGAGGAGATTTGCATTCTATTCTTCATCAAAACAATAGAAAAATTTCATGGAGAGACAGAATTGAGCTGCTTTTCGGAATATCACGACAGCTACGTACCATACACGATAAGGATGTTATTCATCGAGATTTACACCCAGGAAATATTCTTTTCGACAGTAAGTTTTATGAACGTGATTTCTTTAGACGGATTTATATTGCTGATCTAGGACTTGCCAGACCTTGTGATCGAATGCATACAACGGAAAAACACACTTATGGAGTAATGCCATACATAGCACCCGAGATTTTTCGATTTCAACAACATTCAAAGGCTTCCGATATTTATGCTATTGGTATCCTTATGTGGGCGCTGAGTGCGCCTGGTCAAGATCCTTATGACAGAAACTTATATGCTCCGAATCAGCAATTACACTTTATAATGTCAATTTGTGATGGTAAACGACCAAAAATTAATAATAAAACTACGCCGAAACCATGGATTGATTTGATGACAAAATGCTGGGCAAGCAATCCGGAAGATCGTCCTACAACAAAGGAATTATCCGAGACAGCCGAAAATTGGTTTTTTTTCAAAAAAAATGATGAAGAATTTAATGTCGCTGATGTTGACAATCCGCTAGCTCCTAATGAAAGTTCTTATGGCGAGAAGGAGCGTAGTGTATTTATTTCCCTTATTCAAAATAAAAATAGCGATAACAATAACAGGATCCAAGCACAATATACCGCATCTCATGGATATACTGATGCGTTTGATTAATGTTTCAAATATATACAAGTTCTATGTAGAGACACTCAACATCATTATAAGAAATTAAACAATGGTCAGTCTTGTCAAAATTCATTTTATGTTAAACATTATACTGTATTACAATAAATAAATATTCAATAAAAATGCGGCCTTCTTGATTCAGCCGAACTATCCTCTTTGTAAGAATTCGTAAGTACTCTCGGTCAATCTTTTGCTGGTACTATAAACAAAAAAAAAACCAAGAACCTGTGCGTTTTCTGTCCTCGTCTTGATTAAAATATTATAACGTTACAGCTAAAGTAATCAGTTTAATAAATTTGAAATTAATATTAAATATATGGAGGATAAATGTTTCGTATTTAAAGTTAACGTTAATTTGTGATCCATATAACATAATGAAAAACGATGGAAATTTCCATCTCTATCTGAATCTGCTATTGGTATATAGTAAAATTTATTTTTTCATTATCGTTATCGTTGTAATATGTATACATTTCAAATCTTATCACGGCCGAAATTAAAATTCATTTGAGATTTTGATTTAAATTTTTGACGTATTATTCATTTTTGAGAGATTTTATCATTTGGGTTTAAATTTTAGTTTGGGCAACACCCCTAGTTTAGACAACGACAAATTTTATAGTCAAAATTCAGTTTCTAATTTATCAAACAGTTTAGGCAACCAGCCCTAGCGTTAATCTAATTCGAGGATCGAATGTATTTTTAACGTTCACTGGTTTTTGCACGGATCAACTACATAATTAAAGTGTTAACACTAACGATAGGATAGCTTAATTCTTTGATACATTTATAAATCAATAATACAGTCTAAACCCTCACCTCCGATATAGTCACAAACTATATATAGTCACATTTTTTTAGTTACCAACTCATTATAAGCCGTAGGAAAATTGACCTCCATATAGTCACAACTCCTTATAATCCTTATAATTACAGTTTTTCATATCCCGAGGGTGTGACTATATAGAGGTTCGACTGTATGTTCAGAAAGGGCCTATTCTATTATGCGTAACATCTAAAGTCATCAAACATTTGTAAGAAGGAAACATAAAATTTCATCCATAAATACGATAGAATAGGTCTCTCTGAACATATTTTTGTGTTTACTTCTTAGTAAAGAAGTAATTTTACTATAACCTATATTCTTGCTTGCTGCATAGCCTTAACCCTAACGCTAATGGAAACTTTAAATAACATTACAATCAAGATGTATGATGCATAACATCTAAAGTTATCAAATGTTTGTATTTTATAAAATGTATAAACTTCTTTACTAAGAAGTAAATACAAAATTTAATCCATGAATATGTCCTATTCTAATGAAATTTTGTATTTAGTAAAGAAGTTTATACATTTTCTAAAATACAAATGTTTGATTACTTTAGATGTTATGCATCATACTACAAGCTGTTGGAGTTCAAATTATGTACATTATCACCAAAAAGTAATGCCTGGTCCAAAAATATAAAATAGCGAAAATTTTCAAGCTACGTATGTATATATCTAAATTTTTTATAACAATTATTTCTAAATTTATATCATTTTAAAGCTAATTGATTGTATTTTTAAAAAATAACACAAGACTTGTGGCAACTTAAAATGCTAGGAATGTTTTGATTGGAAAGTAAAAAATTATTTTCTCACACTTTATATATGAACAAAAATTTACCCATGCTTTATATATGAAAAAATTTCAAGTTACATATACGTATAGAGAGAGAGATATATATTTCTATTAGTAATTATTTCTAAATTTTATATCATTTTAAGACTAATCAATTTTATTTTTCTTTTAAAATGAAAGAACTGTTTTAATTAGAAAATCAACAAAAATTTTTTATATTTATTTACTATATAATTTTAAATCAGGCGTTACTTTTTTGGAGTACTGTAGATACATATATTAGATAAAATAACTAAGTTCGTTTTAATTTTCATGTTAACCAAATTATTTATACGAAATACGGTAAATTATGCACAAAATCCTCTGACAATACACAAAAATTAATATATGATATTATTTCGAGGCAAAATATGTATATTAGATAGTTGCAACAATTGTAAAAAAAGCGATTGCAACACACGTGAATGCTAATGGTTAAGTCAGCCCGTCCAATTCAAAGGATCTGCTGAATTGGACAATCTAACCGCTCATTCAATATATCAATTATGTTATATTCTATCTTTATATTTTTTATTAGACAATATAATTAATTGTCTGCAAGCTAATTATAATGGAACAATTTAAAAAGTGATTTGGCCTTAATTTAAATGTAGGACTGTGTACCACAGACAGATTTTAACGATCTAATTCAGACCGTTCAAATCGGTTTAAAACTCAGTTCAAACCGAACCTTTGACTTCCATATAAATATGTCACAATATCAAACAGCTTACAAATATCATAGCACGGAACAATACATAGTTGCCGTCCAAATCCAAAAAAAGCATTTATTATCCTAAATCCCAGACTAATATTTCAACAATTTATTAATAAATTTATTTTAAAGTAAATAAGTATAATTATAAATAATATATTAAATCTAATTTTTTGTAAAATACAATAAGATTTTTTTACACCCAAATCCCAAATTAATTTGGACAGCAACTACACAGAACATAGCCAATTAATAATATAAAAGACACGTGAAATATATTTATGATTGTTAATTTATTATTTAATATTTTAAACTGATTTATATTTTCTCGCATATGCCATGGTCACCATTTACTATATAAGGTTAGGATAATGGTAATGAGTCCTAAATTTTAAGGTTATATTTTTCAGTCCCTACTACTATTAAACCTGAAGTCCTTCGTTACAATGCCATGGCGCTATTTTATAAGACCCTTTTAAATTTAATTTCAACATGATAAGCTAATCATATTGAAGAGTAAGACAAAAATATTAATTTCTAATTGTTTCACTTTAATTAAGGATTTTTGGCAAAGAAAGAGTTGATTGATTAAAATTTTCATGGGCGTCATTTTTCTTAAAAGAAAAACCATTCAAATTTATTGAAAAGAATTAATTATTCGCATTTTCAAAAAATGTCAAAGTTGTTGTTTAAAGAAGCAATGGTTTGAAGTAATGCTTATGTTTAAGACAACAATTACTATTCAATTTTGTAAAAATAAATTTTTCAAAAATAGCTATGTGCCTTTCAAATTCTGATTTGAAACATGAAACTTAAAATTTTTTTCTAAAAAAATAACTAGTTTAATTTCCAGCTGTTCTGAACTGAGATTTGTGTTCATTATAACAATAGTCTTTGCCATCGCCTGTAGCAAGAAGAGAAAACCTTGCACGGTGATCCCAATTTTCACAAAATAAGATATTTTAAAAGAACAATGTTAAATTACCCATTTTTCAAACCTAAAATCAGGGATATACGGTAAATTTTGATTAAAACTTATCAAATATAAATTTATTAATTAATTCTATGACAACGGATTTAGCAGGATGAAATTGAAATTAGTATTTTTTTTGTCTTTTTCATTTACTTCTTCTATTTTGCTATTTTGTCTTCTTGACATCTTATTTATCTGATTGTCATTCTCTATTTATGTAAACTTAATTCGAAATTAATAGTCATACCTCTTTCTTAATAATCATCTCTTATATAAGCACATCATATAAAATTCTTTTTATGAGCACACCTATACAAGAGACCATTTATTATTAAGTTTATAGAGAACTATCTCTGTATAAGCACACCTCTTTATAAGCACATTTTTTTTAAGAAAAATGACATGTATGTGACCGACAACGTGACTGTTGTCAATTATGATAGACAGAGCATTTATTATGCACAATATTTTTTATAGTGCTCCAACCGGGTCGGGTCCAATCCGTGATCCGACCCGGAACGCACATTTCGGATCGGGCCGGGGCGGATTGTGGTCAAATCCGACCCGAAATATTTCGGATCAGCCTAAAATCGTTATTTCTCGTTCAATATTAAACGAAAATTTGTGGGTATATACACAATTACATTTCGAACACTCTCTACCTAGACACCAAATACAAGTGTCTTAGTAAAAGTAAAAGTTATTAACTAAAAGCTATTTTACGATTTTCGGATCTAACCCGATCCGAATCCGACCCAAAATTATCGGTTCGGGTTGACCTCAAATCCGATCCGACCCGACCCGAACAGAGCTTTAATTTTTTACGCTTGTCCAGCTGTCTGTCTATTCTGCAAGCCTTATTAATTGATATACATATAACAATGTCATTTGTTTTTACACGCCAATAGTGTAGAAGACTATCTGCCATATGATCGGGTTATTCGTAATGTGCCAATCACTTTTAGTGGCATAAAAAAGAATATCGATATGCATGTATCAGTTCAGTATGCATGCTGCACATTATCTAAATACATGTACTACGAGAACATGTACCGGTACATACATGTATAATGATAAACACGCAGCACGGGACGCGCAACACGCAGAAATTCTATCGCTATTTTAATAATTAAAATTGGTAACCATAAAAGGAAAAAAAATAAAGCAAAATTCCCCATCGTAATCTTCACCGACAGAGATCATTTTCTAGAAGAAAAAATTCGATTAGTGCCAAGAACAATATTGATTAGCACTGTAGAAAAGAATAAATATTAAAGCGCAGTTAGCCTATTGTTCTGCTTATTCACGCAAATGCTATGATTACGCATTTGCATATATAATAATCTGTCCTGTTTTACGATTTCCCTTAATTAATAATACAATAGATAATAAGGAAAGAAGAAACCCAAAGAATTCGTTATCGAAAACTGCGATGAATGCAACATCCAAAAATAGTGTATACGCATAATACACACCATACACAAAGGTTGTCATATACGCGAGTTTATTTATGTTCGTGTGGTGTCTTTTTTGTTTACAATTTGAGAAATTATTTTTCTTTTTATATGACAAATAACATTTAATAAGCAACAAAGAAGTACGTACGTATCTATTTGGAAAACGCATTCAAAGAAGAAATTTAAGATTATTAGTGGTAAGAGTTCCCACCCATTATTCACCTAAACTAGGCAAGATACAGATTCTCAGTGTCACGAGATAACAAACAATTTTTCTATGTCAATTTCCACTAGAAACTAATTAAACAGGGGAACAAACAAATGCGAAAAAATAAAGATTAAATTACTTATTTATTATTTATATGAGAATCTTGTGAACAAAGATAAATTGTTTGTTGTAATGGCGTAAAAAATCAGTAAAATAGATGAGAAAAAGTTGTATAAATAATCTTGGGAGACAAGAATTGTGACTAATAAAAAAATTCAACAATTCTTTTCCCATAAACAGATTCAATTCTTTTCTCAGTATAGAGTAAAATGGTCCAAATCGGTTGTTTTCAAGTGAAAAAATTAAAAAAATTAAAATTAAAAAAACTATGGCCATTTCGACGAACCAAGCCTGGAACGGCTCCTGAAACAATTACAATAATGGCTCAACCAACTTCCACTGATCCATTCAGAATCTTTAACCATAACACACAAAGTAACTCACAAGCTAATAGTGACACACCAACTCCTAATATCACACAGATACCAGTGCCAACAGTAACAGTTAATCCGCTGCCAACAGTAACAGTTAATCCGCCGCCAACAGTAGTACCGTATAATATCACACCGCCCACATCAGTTTCTCCACGCCTCACCACAAAACTTGATTTACTTTCACCAACAGATCATGACTACGAAACAATCTACACTAAATTCATGTCGCATATTCCAGCGGCAACTGTGAAGGGAATCTTTCGTCTCGCAATGCCCGACTCCATCGTAAATCGGCACGAATTAATGAAGAAAACGATTCCAGTTCCAAGACAAACATTTCACGGGACTAAACACCAATGTGATCCTAATCGTTATATCACTAGCAAAGGAGAAGCGAAACCTTGTAGCAATAATCGTTGTGGATTATGCGGAATTATCAAAGACGGAAATCGGTGTGATAGATCGAATAATAGTAAGTGAATTTCATGATTTGAATTATTTTTTTATTTAAAAATCATGCTAACAACAATCATAATCGTAATACAAATAACAATTTAAGGTATTTGGTCAGCCACACACGCCAGCACATCCTTATATTACACACTTGTCGGCGCACCAATACGAGTGATGTTCGTACTTGACATTCTCACACTTCTTCCAGAGAATAATGCCACTCCACATGTTATTCAAGATGCGGTAAGTCTTCATTTTTTTATAAACTCGAACTATTTTGTAATTTATGTATAACGATAATAAAATTTTGTATTTTTTTTTATTCAAAGGCTACCATACCGCGGTTCTTGATATTGTTTCAACATGCATGAATGTAATTTTTTGATTCATGTAATTTGTATATTTTTGGGAATTTATATGATGTGTATTTATTTTTGGAGAATATCTTTTAGGGCCTTGATTTTTGGTGTATATGTATAGTGAATAGTTATTAATTTTTTATTTTCTAGTTTTGATAAATACACATATACATATACATATATAATAACTATTTTTATCTAATGTGTCTTTATCAAATATAATTTGCATTTTATTATAGCATTAATGTGCCGTTTTCATTTATAGCTTTCTTTATTTTGCTTGACTGATTGAATTAATGCTTCGTTATAGGTTTGGCTGAACTGCGCAATCTGCGCGCCGCCGATTGAAGACTGGTTGCGCAGGTATTTTTTGCGCGTTTCGGGAACGTTGTATATAGCCAAATTTTTTAGCAGTTATGCAAGATCAGATATTTTAGTGTGGGAATTTAGTTAAGGGAACGCTAATAGTTTTTGTTAATTAAAGAGGATCGAGAAAACTTAGTTGTCTACGTGATATTTTCGAATCTACTTGGTGAGACATTGGCGTTGTTGTTTGGGGGTCTGATCGTATACTATCCGACCAGCCAGGGATCAATAACATAATTTTTTTAATTATAATTGAGAGTATTTACTAGAAAAACTTGGGGTCATATGGATCTTTACAACGAGACGTAATCACTAATAAAATAAACTCAAAGATGTCATCTAAAATATCGAATACTCATGATTGTAGTGTATGCGCCTGGTTTTTGTCAACGATGGGATTACTGCAAAGCGTGTTCAGTTCACGATATTCATCGTAGTAAATATTACGATTGTAGTAAATATTGTATTTGTCAAAAAAAAATCAGTACTGAGATGAGTGTTTTAAACATCACAAACGAATTTAAAAGCTGAATGGTAGTGGAAATAATGATATCAATGATCGAATAAATGAATGAAATAATATTAAGAACTATAAAGTATTTGAATGGATCCCTTTTGAAAGGTTTACCAATGTTGAATATCTTGCAGAAGGAGGTTTCGGATCGATTATAAAGCATCCTTGCACGATTACTACATGTGGGATTAGAAGGAAAGAAATTTAAACGACGACGTGACGAATGCGAAGTTGTGTTGAAATCATTACACAATTTAAAGAAAATTGCATTTGAGTTTTAAATGAACGTAAGCATATTGCTTTTTTATTTCCAATAGAATTAACTTTTTCAAAATTAGATTCAGACTGCTCTAAAGTGACTCGTGGTCGTATTAAATATTATGGGATAACTAAAAAAATGAATACTCGATAGTAATAAAACAATTGATTTGAGAAGTAAAATCAAAATACTTAATTCGTGATCCGTACAAAAACCAGTGAAAATTTACTAAATTTACTATCGTTATCGTTATTTATTGCTTGTCATGTTAAAAGAAGAGCCTTTTATTATTTATACTAATACACATAAATAGAAAGTGTTCACAGTCAAGATTCGATATAACAATAATTAGTAAATGTCGTTATATCGAAATTTTAATTAGTCAATATATCGAGATTTGACTGTACAGTACTTTTTTGGCATTTGACAATAAACCCAGCTTATCGATATCTAATTCATTGGAGCACTTTTATGCTACATAAGTGCTCTTTTAACATAATGATAACAATAAAACAGAAGTTCCACAAGACAAGCAGTACTTGACGCAGAAATCAACTATCACGTTTATTTACCCATCATTTCAAAGTTTTAAATAAAACACTGATTTTATAAAGTGAACTCAAAGATAAATTCTAAAATTTCGAATACTCACCGTGTTCGGATTACAATACTCACAATAGTAGTAAATGTACAAAAAGGAGATTTGCCTTGGACGTTTTGAATATCACAAAACTGTCTAAGAAAAGAATGCGAGAAAATCAGTAGTAAGTCTTTCGAATATCTTGCAAAAGAGCAATTTATAAGCATCTTTGCCTATAAAAATCCATCAAAATAGCAAGAACCCTACTACGTATATCAAAAGATAGTGAAACCATATGAGATATTTCATGATGATTGGTTGAGTTTTAAAGTTTTCAAGATGTGTGAACTTATAGAAAGATTATGGGAAAAGTTTATAGAATACGCAAAATCATCCATCGAAATGGTAACCTTTTAGGAAATGATGAGATAAAAAAATTTATATGCGCTGATTTTGCGAAACACTAAATGTATTTACCACAATAATCAAGAAATATGATGAGTTCCTTCATAAGTTTATATATCATATATCATATATGGTATAAAGAACATATTGCTAATCCAGATAAGATTAGTTCACCTGAGACTATAAGAAAAAATAAAATGATTATAGACCAACCAGCCTTACATTATATATCATAAACTGATCAATTGGACCTTTATAGTTTTTTAAATATATGGAATATGATAATTGACTCGATATAAATAAACCCTCATCATATACAATGACAATGTTAATTATATTTCAAGTTCATTCTAATATCCAATCTACATATATCACAAGTGATCACTTTTTTTCTCCATTCTCCACATAACCGCAATCACCAGCAAAGTAAATATCAAGTACACAAGTATGATTATTTTACACCATAGCTTATATCCAATCAAAAACGCTTCTACTTATTTGATTCAAGCAAATAAAGAAAGATCTTGAAAGACGAAATTCATAAAATACAATTGAAGTAGCCTTTAGGGTGTTCATTTTTTACGACGAAAAAGATATTTGAGTGCTAATAATTTAATATTCGGATCTAACCTCGAATTATGCTATGTTGTCTAATACTCGATGTACTTGTATTTTATTGGAATTGTTAATTTTCTTTGATTAAATTTAAATGATTTTTTTTGAATTATATAAGATTCTTTGTGTTTAGCGTGCTGAAATTTACTAATACATGTAATATTAAATAAATCCGGATAAATTATTATCAGATTCGAGTCGATTCACGATCTATTTAATTAAAACCGATATTATTAATACTAGTTCTGGACAATATTCGTCTAAAAACAGTCCATATATAAGATTTTTTAGCAATGTTCGCACTAGTCAACGCTTATTATAAAGAAGTCCCAAAATATGCAATACAACTGTTGAGGTCCTTTCTCTTATCGAAAAAAATTGCATCGATTGCATTCATATAGTAATGTTAACAGTAGAGATGCAGGCACTTCTTGCAACCTAGTTGCATCGTATTAATTTTGGGTTGTAACCTTATTTACAACATGACTTAGGTTCTAATGTCTGCACCTCTAGTCAACAGTTCGATTTGTTTGGACAAGCCAAGATAAATCGTGTTGATTTATCGAATAAATGCTATACGTATATTGCTTCGCTATTTATTATTTGTTCAATGATTTTTAGACTGAAATTTGAATAATAAAAAGTTAGCATTATGATTTTTTTTTACTTGTTGATATTCGGATAAAATATTTTTGTGGATAGTTTGATGGTTTAGCACTTCAAAACGAGGATCAAGCGTTTCACACAAACGTAAAACATTTCATTATCAACGGAGCTAAAAGCTTGTTGATTGCATACGCGATGCAATAAGTGATTAAACATTCTGTAATATGCAATTTGTCTTTTTTGTTGTTTCCCCTTGTGCATTTTTGATATCGATATGCATACATGAGATATAATTTCGTCATATTCATTTCTTTATAGAAAATTCTCGAATGGTATTGTTTATTCACCTATACGAGTTTTTGCTCTCACAACAAATATATCTGGTTCGCATGTTTTATAAGTCTCTTATGCTTGTATGAAAAGAAATAATGTAATATAAAAAGACATGTAAAATAAACTAAAAATGCAATAAGAATATAATTACTATGGTGCAGGAACTCTTAAATCGACAATATGTTCCATGTTGAAAATTCTTAACTAAGAAGTAAAGTCAAAATTTAACCGGTAATGTTATAGAAAAAGAAATTTCTTGATAATATTACCGGTTAAATTTTGTTAAGAAGTTGAAAGAATTTTCAACTTGGAACATATTGTCACATTCCACGTGATCAAAAATAATTAGCCAATTAAATATAATAAAAATCTCACCTTTGGGGGGGGGGGGTTAACTCTATAGTAACTTAATATTACGTAATATCTGTCACTCCCCTTATTGTTCTCTTCACTGTCAAGTATCTTTTTAATATTATTTTTAATAATTCTATTGTTTAGAATTCTTTTACGCTGCAAGCTTTTTAAGTTTGCCAATTTGGAAGCAATTATTAAAAAGTTATTTCCAAAATACAAATATTATATTAAAATTTTACCGAACACTACGAACTTCCATAAGTATGCAAGATTTTTATCAGAGCATTGGAGTTATCACTACGTATATGTTAATTGCTTTCCAATTCTATTCATGTTTATTCAAAGTTTAAACTAGCACATTTACATAATTTTTAACTTAAGTTTATATTGATTTAATATGGTTTACTATAAGTTTAGAATAGTTTGAAATTACATTTTATTTAAAGTTTAAAAATGTTTATACCGAACCAACTGTTCTGATAAATTTTAGTTCGATATAGAGAAGTTTGGTACATGTATATAAAATAGAATTATATTCATATAATACGTATACACCAAATTATCGTTATAAAAAATTGTTTTGATTCAGTATAAACAGTGTCAATTGTACATGTATTTGGTACGTATCAGATTAAAGTTCAGAGAAGCAAAGAATAGTGTACCGGTGACAAAAAAACTGCATGTTTTGGTTTCATCTTATCGTTATATATACATGTAATACATAGAATGTCAATCCGGATTTCTCTCAGTTCTATCGCTATATACAGAACAATGACAATACTTACGTACGAATTTCTTGATCTCTTTTTTTTAAACCGTTCCTAAATAAAAAGCTGACCAGGAAATCGTTCTGCTAATTACGAGCTCATAAACTCTAACGTTGCATCCAAATAAACTACTGCATGTACGTAAGATGCGAAACCAACTACGTATGCTATTTTTGGAAGGTGCGATTTTCGAAATAACGCCCATGTTCGTTA